TTTGGCGCTATACAAATAAAATGTGACTGAATTGAACATTAACTGTTCTTAAGGAGACATTAAGTTCGTAATTTTGGTTTAAACTATATAACCATCCAGAAGGAAGGAGATGAAATTCACTATGCAAAGGGTAGGAGTCAATTTAGCTGGTATCCACCTGGACCCATAGTGTAGTCAAACAGTAATATAAATGGGTATAGTGAATAAGGGAATAAACTGTGACAATTATCTTTTAATAGGCTTCTTTTGTATTGTATTGGTGGGAGGTTATTCACCACTAAATGACTGTGTGCAGGCGGCTGTGAGGCACTGTACAGGCAGAAGCTGACATGTAACTACGAACTGAAGCACAAGAGCCTGCCAAGGGTTTGGTGCAGGCAGAGCTCCAGCGACTGTTGCGTTGGCCTCACCTTCAGCCAGGGTGCCCGCTTAGTGGATGAAGGCAAACTGGAGGTGACCCAGGGTCCAGACTCCTTCACTGTAGCGGTGCTGATACCAACCCATGGAGAGGGAATGTACTGGTGTGGTGTGCTGAGCGAAAATGACACCATCATCAAGCTGGCTGAAGGCTACTTTCACAAATGTAAGTAGAAGGAAGCCTTTAAATGTTAAATGTGCTTTAAGTAGGGAGACCAGATCCTAACAAACCAAATGTGGGACAAAGAGTGTGTTTGTGTGGGACAATGTTGCTGAGAGGTAGTCTAAAAAAAAAAACGTATATGTTAATTATAATTAAAGCTGGAGTAGGTAACTTTTATAAAAAATCTTTTTTTGTCATATTTGCTTTCACTATATCCTGACAGTAGAACATGAGACGGATCATCTGTAAAAACAAATCTGGTTCCTCTGGTTCCTCCTAGTGCTCCTAATCGCACTTGCAAGAATCCACCAGGCCTGAATGAAAACAACCAATCAGAGCAGAGAAAGATAGTTGATTGTTCAGTCTCATTCCCAGGGATGTAAAATACACGAATGCAACTGTACCACATTAAGGAAATATAGTATTAAAAGGAAGGAAAGGAAAGGGAAGTTTTAGAGTTCTTATTATGGTCCTATGTGATAGTTCCACCAGCTTATGCTATCTGCATATCTTGTGACTTTGTAGTGACTCAATTCTGCCTGTTGGGCGTAGTGTAGCAAAGATAGGTGACAGGTTAACCTGCACTTGACCCATGGCTGCGCGGTTTGATTCGCGTCAAACACAGCCCCATGTTGACAGCCCATCCTGCTTTCTTCACAGCCACTTGATAAAAACCTGATTTTAGAAAAGTAGCTGTCCTGCAGTGGTTTGACTTTTGAAAACTAGAGTCAAGCAAAATGTAGGACATTGTCTCAATATGTGAGACGTGGGACAAGGTATAAAAATGCTGTGCATATAGTACCTAGCTGTGCTCAGAACAGTTCAAAACTAGGAGCTTGAACATAGCTGGTTCCCTGTTGGTGGAATAGGACTAAAAGAGGCAGCCCTCAAGGGCATGCAGCAGAACTTCAGTGTGGTCATAGGGAGGGGAAAGGGGACTTTAAACTTGGTGGTACCATTTATATAAAGGAGATTGATTTAACTTACTTTATTCCGATCAATTCTGTGAACACATTTTAAATAAGTTTGGAGAAAAATGCTGCAGGTGAGTGTAACTTCAGTCAATTACATGGAATTGGTACAATTAACTTAATTTACCCAAGTTACCTTAACAATAAATACTTGAGTTATTTCTACTCAAATCAAATATCTTTCATATCTTTAGTAAACTTAGATGGTTTAAGGCGATTGGTTTCCTCAAACAGTTTGAGTTGAAGTACAGTTTGATAAAATAGCTTAAGTGTATTACACAATAATCATGTTGTTTAGATTTTTCACAATACCCAGATCTCATTTACATTTCTTTGCCACCCCCCAATGCAGCCTCTGGAGCTTATACCTGGAGCATTACTCGCTGGATTCTGCTTCCTCTGCTCCCCATGCTGACCATATTCACCAATGTTTACATCAGAAGTAAGTCATTCTACTGCTCCACCAACAAAGACAGGCGTGTAAATATAAGTTTAGGCAGTCATATTGTGAACAGTAAGGAGTACAGTGATCACAAGTAAACATACAAATACCACAAATACAAAACAGCAGCAAAACCCCCCCCCAAAAAAACTAGATTGTATGAGGTGTAGACGGAGGTCAGCTTTCCCCCAGTTTGGAGAAGCAGACAGGAGTCCTGGCACTGAAACAGAGCGATGCACTGCTGTGGACGGGGGGCTGCAGAAAAACATCTAAAAATATCTATATCAGTTCAAAGATACTCTGTATTTAGAATACTTTTACCACTTTACCTTGCTGTCAGCCCTTTCCAACGGGAAACTGAAGCACTTATATCCATCTATTCTCTCTTCAAAGCCACCAGACTAAAAATAGTAATTGTACCTTGCAGAAGACAGGAGTTGCTGGTCCACCACTGCCAAAAGTGTGCCATTTTGACATACATTAGTTGGGTAAACACATGTGTCACCAACAATACTAATTAAAGCTGCAGTAGGTAATTTGTATAAAAAATAACTTTTTGTCATATTTGCTGAAACTTTCACTATATCCTGACAATCCATGACATAGATCCCGGTTGATTCTTACAAATCTCATTAGGAGCACTAGGAGGAGCCAGAGGGACATGATTTTTTGACAGATTATCTGCTTCGTGTACTACTGTCAGGATATAGTGAAAGTTTCAGCAAATATGACTAAAAGTTACCTACTGCAGCTCTTTAATGCTCTGCTTCCATTTCGAGTCAAGAGCAAGTCAGGTGCGCTATCTGACTTGGTTGGCTCACCTGGAAAGGGCTTACTCCAATAAATGGATTTTTCGTCAAAATGGCTGGGTGGAAAAGATCTATATAGCTAAATAAACAAACCAACTGGGACAGAAGGCAGTGCCGTGTACCAGCCAATCCTCGCTGTGTTCCTGTGAGGTAAAATGGGCCAAGGTTTGGAAATGGCTGTCTGAAGAGCAAGGTAAAGGCCAGTAGAAATATTCTAAATATAGCATACACTTTTTTAGGTTGTCTTTTTATGGTGTTGTAGATCCATTTTGTGGCCCAGCTCCTGTTCGACATCGAGAACATTGCTTAGCTTCCAGCCCCCGCGGTACCGTCCTGCTGTCTGCCGTTCCTCCAAGTCGTAGGGTAGGGAGGTTACAGCTGATTATGCCAAGTATCCCTCAATACAGTTCTTTACTTCAATAAAGCCTCAACCTAACGCACCTGTAATGCCTGTTTAGTTAATCACAACAATTTTGCAATGGCTTGACGGGAAAATTCTCTTTCTTTCTTTCACAGCCACACAAAAAACATGTTGTCAAGGTACAATTCTGCCCGATTTTTCATGTACAACAATTAAAGCAGAATTCCAACC